TCTCCTTTTCGAAAAACTGATATTTTCACATGTGAAAAAACATGTTATTTTCACATGTGAAAATATCGTTACCATGTGTATTTAAGCTATTAGTTTATAAATTAAAACTTTTTATAATAATAAAAAGCTTATTAAGTGGATCTTATGCATAATTATATAATAAACAGAATATTACATGGGCGCTTGAAGATACGAAATTTATCTTCTCGTGTTGAAAATCTCTCAACGCTCGAAGATAAATTTCGTATCTCCGCGCACCCAATCTATATTTATTGCACTAAGCATACCTATAAATCCTGCTACCATGTACGAGTTTTTACTTTCTTGTGTGTTTGAAATATCAATTTGAGGGACGACAACAGTAACTTATAAGCATGATTTGGTTTAGGGAAATCCTCAGTGGATGTCATTTGTATACGTACTATAAATCATGAACAAAAGCGGTCAACGGAAGGCATTGACATAAARCGTTTAGCTAGATTAGAGGGATAAATTAGTGACTCAAACCTCAAGCTTAGAAGCCAAATATCTATGTCAGGCATCCAACTGATCATGATATATAGGATATTGCCAAGAGAGCATAAATAAGAGAGGGAAACACACGCAGTTCAAATTTCGACTTACCCTTCTCCCGTGCTTCATCAATTTGCGCGCGCTCGTCTTTCCATTTTGTTTTTAGCGATCAAAACAATGAAAAGAAGAGCGTTGGCTGGCAAGTTGACGACAAACGGGAGTAGGATAAGGCGAAATTTAAAGTGCAGCCGGTTACTAAAAAATTACATGGCGCGCACGTTAATATTAAGAAGCTTCTCTCCCTTATTTATGCTCTGTTGATATTATATGACCATACACGCGGAGATAAGGGTTTTATCTTTGGGTTTTGAGCTGATACTCTAGCACGAAAAGGTAAAATCCGTACCTCCAATATATAATTATCGATGAATTACAATTTTGGTGGATTTTTTAATTTATTGCGATTCCTAAGAATTCTTATCAATAAATAGGAGGATATTACATGGGCGCGCGGAGATACAAATTTTATCTTCGAGTGTTCAATTGATATCTCACGAGTGAGCGCAGGGAACGAGTGAGATATCTAAATTGAACACGAGAAGATAAAATTCGTATCTCCAAGCGGCCATGTAATGTTCTGTTTATTATATAGATATCGATGAATCTTAAATAAAACAAAAGCTCAAAAATTCTTTATTAAAATAGCAAGCCGATTCAACAGCGATGTCTTCACGTGTTAAAGATATGGTATCTTCCACTGGTGAAAGATATCAAGTTTTCGAAACTAGAGAAAACCTGTTATTTCATCGATATCTACAGAATAATGTTATTTTCACACGTGAAGATGATCATGAAATGATCCGTTCACATGTGAAAATATCACTTTTTAGTAAAAGAGATCAAAATGAATGTTTCATCGATGATTATATTTTAAATAGAATTAGTCACAAGGATTTCTAACATTAATATAAGAGCATGGGATAGCTGTTAGTTATATATTTGACGGAACTACTTTAGAATAGAAAACCAACGGGGTCCTTTTTATAGATTCCCTATTCTAATAGCATTTTGCACTTATCTTAAGTATAATGCTCAGAAAATTATTCATTGCTCGCGCGCATAGTACGTTCCTACGCATAAGTTTATTGCTTATCGAGATCTTTTGATAGCTTTTGATTTTAAAAAATGTCAAAGAAACAGGTTTTCGCTCCGTTCAAACTCTCGTAGCTCTGAAACAAAGTTGGTGACCCCTCGTTTCTATTTAGTTTTTTGATTTTATAACACCTAATTTTATAACAGCAAAAATTTAGACAAACATTTGACAATGGAATAAATTCGAAATATTTTGCATAAAATCACTTTTTTTTTTCATATTTGGAATACAATTTCACGTAACTTGAAAGCTAATTCAAGTCCAAACTGACCAGGCCAATAAATAACTTTTTTCTCCTCATTTTCAACATCAGAAGTACGATCAATCATTTTTAGTAAAATATAAGTTATTTTTTAAACGGCTTTCAATGTTTGCAATCACGCATTTTTACTGCAAAAAGGATGAATTTCCACATAATCTCAAGACTAAACGAGTCGGTAACCCGCCTCATTTTTGATTTGTTCGTCGTACTTTTAGTATGATGTACTTTTATAAAAATTTTAAGAAAACCATTAAATTCCTAATTGAAAAATTGAAGAATCTTACTGTATTCGCTTTAAGTTAAACAGCTGCCTCTGGCTGTTTACGATTTAAAATATTAGTGTGGGACAGCTGAAATAAAATGCGTTTTTTAATCAATGAACGCATACGAACAATAGAACAGGATCTCGGCAGAATTCAGTTTAAGCATTTTTTTTCCTTTGGTTCCTCTAACCAAACCTAAAATCGTGGTAATCACAAGTCTTGTTATTTCATTATCTCGCAAATTCTTGCAAAGGGACTTTTTTTAGACAACATTTTATATTTACTGGATTTAAATATTTAAATTACTTAACGTTGCTATCTTCCTTATTAGCAAAAGTAATTTGAAAATTTTGTTAGAAAGCTTTTTTGATACAGAATGTAACTTAATTGATTCAAAAAAACAACARCAACAGAAAATGACGCGTCCCGAGCTCGTTTGTTAAATAATGAATTTGAAAATTATCTAATCTTATGTTATTAAGTTTTCGTCCGGGTGAGTGTAGTTTTGAGAAAGACTGTTGTTGGTTGTGAATGACAACAACCTGAGCGAAAGTCATCCTCAGAATCCTGTGAGAAAACGAGAGAAAGAGTCTCTTACTGTCTCTCGTTTACTCACTTGACTCTGAAGATGACACCCGCTCAGGTTGTCGAAACGTCAGTCAACACCAACAACAGTCTTTCTCTAGAATACACTCACCCGGACGATCACACTTCACAACAAACTGTCAGTCACCACCAACAACAGTCTTTCTCAAGACTACACTCACCTGGACTATTACACTTCACAACAAACTGTCAGTCACCACCAACAACAGTCTTTCTCTAGACTACACTCACCTGGACCATTACACTTCACAACAAACTGTCATTCACTACCAACAACAGTCTTTCTCTAGACTNACCAACAACAGTCTTTCTCTAGACTACACTCACCTGGACCATTACACTTCACAACAAACTGTCATTCACTACCAACAACAGTCTTTCTCTAGACTACACTCACCTGGACCATTACACTTCACAACAAACTGTCATTCACCACCAACAACAGTTTTTCTCAAGACTACACTCACCTGGACAATCACACTTCCCAACAAATAATTCGTTCTGGCTGAGGGAACGAAATACCCCTTGTTCGCTTTTTAATTTCTATACTGAGTTAAATATAGACAACAGACACCTGACCTTATTCTTCTGCATAAACTAAAACACGATAAAATAAACTCCTGTCTTAAGCAATATCTACAGCCTGTACCTAAACCTAATTTTGCCTCAAGAAACTACTACGAAAACAATTTCCAAGAACTTAATCTCTTCAAACAGGACTATTACCTTAACTCATTTCTAACTAGATCTATCAAATTATGGAACTTGCTACCAATACACTGTGAATGAGCGATGTGAGCCTTTCCAAATTTAATGAACTTGTGACTACCCGTTTTGCATGCTTCCAAAATGGAACATCACTTACGACCTTAAAATCTTTTCAATTTGAATTTTGATAAATTTTGACATTTTTTTATTATTGTTTTTTTCCTCGTCAATTTTAATGTTAATCATGCTTGTACTGTATGTAAATTGTATGGAGGGGGAATATCAATTGGGACGAAAGTTCTGTGTTCTTCGCCAGTCACAACATCTGTATGTCTCAAAATTTATAGAATGTTAATGTTTATATTGTGACAAATAAACTAAAATAAAATAAACTAAAAAAGTTACTTTCCGTTTAAATTTTTGGCAAAATATTACTTTTTACCTGTGTGGCTTTATGGAATTCAAAGAAAAATATAGGTCCTGTGCAAGAGTTGAGGCTTTTTGTCCGGTTGAAGTTCAAAACTTTTATCACTCGTTWAAAAAATTTGAAGGCAAAACTTGGGAAGCGTGGATCTTGAGCTCAAATGGCAAACGTACCGAAGAAGTCGGCTACCTTAATGGACTTCTTTCCCAAAAATATATATTATGTATATACCACGATGAACAACGAGTCCTCTATACACTTTTCATGAATTGACTGGCTCATTAAGACGATGTTTTTATTTTGTAGAAATGTATAGTTGTTGTGTGTGAAAGCCTGAAGAAGAGAGAGGCAGAGAGAGAGAACAAGATAAAAGGAGGAAGAAAGCAACGAAAAAGGAAGAAAGAAAAAGAAAATTAAAGAAAGTAGAAGAAAGGAAAAATTTACATCATTATTCGTGCCTTTCCGAGCGCAAATTGTTTCTTATATCTTGAGGGGAAAAACTTACAATTCCACTATGTTCTAATTAATATTTCATACATTAAAATAACTTATCATATGACCCGTACGGCCCTGCTCGCGCGCTCTAATAAAACCATTGGAAAAAGTCACGTGATGGGGGCCGGACGGGTTGACGTAAGCGGGCCGGAAAAACCCGTCCGGCCCTGCTCGAATCCGCGCGCTTTCTTTTTCTTATTTATTTTTATTTTCGTGAGGGTCATATGATAAAATGCTTATTGACTGAGTTAGGTCGGGCCGTACGGGAAAATATTTGGCTCTCGGTCATTTGTACGGACCKMGCKSMGCKMGGTCCGTACGACATGACCTCGAGCCAAATATTTTCCCGTACGGCCCTCCCACTCAGTCAATAAGTACATATTCTTCCCAGTTTAACACGATGAATGTTTCTCCTTTTGTTCAAAGATTATTTAATGAATTGCGTTTCCGTGAGTAGGTAATTAAGGACTTACTTTTCCACACGGAAAGTGAGATTTCAAGTTACTAAAAAAATGTGTTATATTTTGAATTTATTTTTAGATTTCGAATATCACAATTTCTCTTTATGTCGTGAAAGAATTTAGCTAGAAAAATATACTTCTGTGACTAAACGATACTCAATCGGTTCACACAAGCCCGTTCATTTTCTCGTCTTTTTTGTCACTGACATTGTTTTTGAGAATGTCGGAAATAAACCTTTTTTAAAAATGTAATATCACCTTGCGAGCTTAAGAATGCGGTCTTACAAAGAGATATCCGAAATCTCCCAACTTATTTAAGATAAGATAAATAATGTTTTGACGTCATGAGGAAAATAGCTGCCGACTTATATATTTTACTAGTCGTTTCTAGCAACTCCCCCCCCCCCAAAAAAAAAGTTATATTTGTAAAATATAAAATATATATTTGTACTCAAAATTCTTCACAAAAAAGGGAGAAATTAAAGCTAACTCGAAATCTCACAGGAAATAAAGTTCAAAATGTGGAATAAAATTTTAGTAACATGAAAACGTTCTGTGTTGGGAATTTTTTTCTTAATTCTTTCGTTACGTCGGCACCATTATTAACATCACCACAATGGCCGCCATGCCTTTGTCATTCATTAACTCCCTTGGGAATGCTAGCAATAGCTTTCCACGGAAACAAAATTCATGAAATAATTTTTGAACGAAAGGAGAAAACTCATGTTCAATTAGAACGTAAGTAGAAAATAGAAGAACTTGCTAGGGTTGCGCAAGGTATACAGAATAAGTTTGCTCTCGCGCGGAAACGCAGCAAAAGTGCTGTGTTCCTTTGTCCAGTGTAAACTCAACATTAGAATCAAAATTTTAGCTAATTCATAATTTAATTTTACGCCTAAAAATATCAACAGTTTAGAATTCAGAAGGCTTCTTTTCTTTCCACTAAAACCACACACCCATACAAAAAATATTCTCTTACGAATGACAGCAAACAATGGTCAGTGTTCATCGTCGATATCAATTTTCATCGTTTTTCCTAATATCGGGAACAGCCATTTGGTATTTCAAAAAAAGCCATGAAAGAATGTCATTTTTTTTCACGACTTGAATTATATTTAACTTGAATTTTAAATCCCACAATTAAGAACTTCCAACACTGTGCAAAATTCTTCAAAATTAACCAATCGAAAATAGAAAAAAGATAACCAACTGTTACTAAAATGTTTCTCGAAATTTTATAAAAATGAGTTCAAATATTTCTTAGTAAGCTACTTTTTGTTTCCTTACCTTGAATTTCAAAATGTAGACAAAAGAACATCCTATTTCGCTCTCTTGTGTACACGAATATTACACTTTGTAAATCTCTCCAGGAAGTCCTTCGAATAGACTTCATTGCTTAATTAGGCCGCATCTATTCGACATTGAAATTTTCCTGAAGATCACTTATCAGTATTTTTAATTTGATAAGCTTGCGTACTGACTTAAACTAAAGATGTCATAGTGTTGCGATAGCAATGAGAATAAGTTTTATAAGTCTACGACATTTTACTGACACAATAAATGAATCCAATACTTTAAAGAAATTGCTAATTAAAGAAAAAAAGTTTCAAGTTGGAAACTAAATCGTCGTGGATTTGATTTACGGTAAACCAAAGTTTATCGGTTTTGTAACCTCGCTCTTTTACTAGGCATCCCGAGGTTGAGGGAAAAAACTGGATCAAGTTTGCATTGCAGTGCATCTTGGGGCTGTTTTAATGGTCGAAATATCCGCCATCTTGGAAATATGTCCACTAAAACAGTCCCACAATGCATTGCAATACCAACTCGACGCAGTCTTCCACTCAACCCCAGAATAGCTAATGCTCGACACACACACTCTTGCCTGGCAATGTTAATCCCTGGGCTTGGTCAAATAATAAGCCTGAAGCGAGATGACGTTTTATCCCCGACTCTATACCATAATAGTTCTTTCATATTAAAATTTATGATTCCTTAGAGAATAATAGTCATAATTAAATAACGAAAGCAATGTGAAAAGGAGTCTAGAGACGGGGGTAAAACGTCATCTCGCTTCAGGCTTATCAAATCATAAAAATACGTGCTTAAAAACAAGTTTAATAAAGCAATAAGCAAGGTTGCTAGCTTAGATTGATTAATGCTGTTGGCTTCCTAAGCCGATGACTGAAGTCTGACGTGCTACCGATGTTTGCGTCAGACATCCCTTAACTATCTTTCATGATCTTTCAKTTTTTTCCGTCGGTACTAGCGAAAATCTTTTGATGGTTGAAGAGTTTTTTTGTCGTCTTGTTTGTTAGCAGATTATCGAAAATTGAATCTCCGCAGAATTGAAAAGTTTGAATAAGGCTAATTAAAAGTAGAAGCGAGATGGAAGAAAAGTGTATAAACAATGGCTATTTAGGATTTATCTTTGAAAACTGAAAGGCCTTGTATTATTCAAAAAGTCGGTAGTCACTTCCGAAGAAAATTTTGAATGAACGCAAATGACATCAGAAATAATAAAAATAAGGAAACAAATAAATAAGATAAAATTATACTGAATAAACTGAATAATTTAAAAATTTAAAGTAATAATTATTTTTTGCTAAAAAATTTAACCATTTTATCTTTTTCATACTTCGATGTTCTTTTACTTTCTTTCTTTCCTTCTTTC